ATTATACAAGAAACGGAGATGTTTGACTATGTTGGAAACATTTGGTTTTCCGAATGATGAAAGTTTTTGGAGTACTTGTGGAGGCGGTATGATATCTTCTGCAATCAAGTACTTTTTACTCCACGCGACATCTCTATACTTGGGAAGGATTACCTCATTCAAACAACCAAAAACTCTTGAGTGTCGTGAGTGTGATTATGGTGTTTGTCGTAAGGTTCGCACAAACTTTTAGCAACCGGAAAAATTGGTACTCTTCTGATGTTTTCCAAGTTAAAATTTTATAGAGATGATCTACCAATGTAGCCTCGATAGCGTATGTCAGATGGAGGTTCCGGCTCATTTTGTAATTCCTCAATCATCATATCAGCGCACTTATTAATGCTATTTCATTGACTTTATTATTGAATACGATACTTGAAAAACTCTCGGCGTGTTCTAATATACCGGAATGAAGGAAGACGTCCGTGTTTCTGTTGCCACCTAACAAAACTGAATTGTTGGGTCGAATAAATCTGTAATCTTCTTTAAAATCCTCGCATTTGAATTGGAAAAACAGCGTTTCCTTGAACGAAATCATCATAATTAAGTACGCTATTTAGGAAGCGAACGTAATAGGCATTGGATGCTCTAGGAATTCAACATCCTGAAAGACATAAGAATAGATGTTTCTCAATGGGACATTAAGTTTGGTAAAAATTGACGATAACCACAAAAATAAAATTTTGAACTTCTTGTTTGATACCAACAAGCGGAAATTGGCAATAAATATCCGAACGAAGCGGTTTTAAAAGCATCTCCGAATTTGAATTCGAATATACTGGACAAATGGGAAATAAGTGAACTAATGATTCTAGCTCATAATCCGATTTCACTATATACAAAATAGAAAAGAATAAGTTCTTAAAACATTGATTTTAATAACGATGTTAAATAAAGAGGCATTTACCATTTACCAATAATCAATTAGTAAGCTGCGTAGCTTGTCTTGACAAATATTCGAAGAAATTATTCATATGGTCATTTACGTCTTCTTCTGAGTTATCATTAAACAAGATAGTTTCGGTTTGTAACATATATTTCAGTACTTGAAACCGTATTAAATTGCGTACTTTTGATGTCTTTTGGATGGAAATACTAGAACTTTGAGGCAGAATCCGTAATGTTTAACCTGATGGTTTCTTTTTTGGGAGTTTGCAATGAAGTTTTGGCAAGAAATCAAGCAAAATATACCTGATCCAACTGAGTTTCAGTTGATCTAAATCCGGCATTTTATTGTTTTCAATCAGTAGCATTGCACGGTCTGAGCCTTGGGCCCAGATCCGTTAAGATGAACTGGCAAATTGGTGGAGGTATCAGATAATAAAATAAAGAGTACATCTTGCCTTCGAATTTTCAAGTGGTCTTGCAACGCCATCCAATACGCGTAATCGAAATCGTTGCGCGTATTGTTGTAATTGAGAATCTTCAGGATCTTGTTGAGCACCAATAGCGAAATCCAATTTTTGTTTCTTCGAATATCGAAACAATTGAAATTTCTCACATATCTGAAACTACAGTTCCTCTTCAAATAAAATCTCTATGTATAGTGACGATGGAGGGATTGGATGAAACGTAAAAAATAAAAGATGTGAACATGTTATCAACGGTGAATTTCCAGTTTTTCAGATAAAAACTAAACTAATTGATTATGAGAAATTAAACAACATAAATACAATAGTTGGGAGAGGATAGTTGATTTAAGATTGAAGAACAATTCAAGAATCTCAGTTATCGAGAAAGTTCTGTCGGATATTTTACTTGCTTCCCTTCGAAATGGGATTCGAAATAGTGTTTCCTCAAAATTCGAACGATAATTGATGCCCTCGATGCCTTCAAAAGGGACCAAATGGTCCTTTTCAGAAAGCCCCTCAACGCCATTTGTTGGGAAAAGGCCTATTATTCCACGTTGTCTCAAGAATTTCTCTTGAGGATCCAAAAACGCAATAGAATCTCCGCTAATGAAACTCGGAACATCGTAAAATGAAAACACGTATTGAAACCTAATCCATTCTTCCCAATCGTCTTGTTTTCCACCAACGCGTAACTGCATGAGCGATTCAAAATCTGGTTCCTCAAATTTGATTATTAAATATTAAGATTGCGGGACCTGCCAGACCTTCATTTCATTGTTAAATAGAGAGTTGGAGAGATGTGAACGGATGTCGATGATTACATGAAACTGATTAGCTCCGGCGTCATCAAGCAAGCATTATGGCACCGAAATTAAAAAAATGATTTTCATTCAACGTCTTACCATTTTTGAAGGAATTCTCTAAATATGCTTTCGAAGGAATAATCCTAACTACATAATAAATTTATTTGTGTTAAAAATATTAAGATCTTAAAAGATAATGAATCTTTAAAATATTATCTTGGGTTAGTTAATTAACTTATAATAGACTTTCTGGTTAAATAAAATGATTTCAAACAAAGGAACCTATAATTTGGATCTTTAAATTCTTCGATCTAAACAAAGTCTCACGATGATCCTGGGTAGTATTCTTGTTCCTCATATTTTGGTCTTTCCATCGTTAGCTCTATTGAAAAAGGATAAATAATTAAACGATTGTGAGTAACAGAAACAAAATCATAGTTATGTGCAAACTCCGTATAGGGCCATTAAACACTCAGTAATAGAGAACAGAGCATTATCGTCCTTGCTATTAGAAATCCTCTAACGTATTGACTATTCAGCCTTTCCTATCACCAACTTTTAGTTAATGACGTATATGGCGTAATGGATATTCTTCTACTACTATCATGAACGTAAAACGTAAAGCATAAAACTAATTTTTACTTCGACTGCTAAGAATGAACATAACCGATCCTCACACAGAAACAGTAGACAAAACAGTCACAATCTACTCAGTATTACCTGGTATTATATAGAGTAAGTCGTCGAAAGATAAAATAAATAAAAAAGTAAAGTTCAAATAAAAAAAGACGAGAAAATTCTAGAGTATAAGGATTAAAAGAAAGCTTGACTTGAAAAATAGTAGAATTAAAAACGGTTATAAGAACCTTTCACTTTGTATTTTTAAAAATATTTTGCATCATGAAGTGTAGTGAAAATTGGGGAGTTTATATAATCACATAAACGAAGAATTACGTTAAGCTTTTTTAAATGATTACGTCATGATCATCAATTAATTTTTCTGAAAGTATTAATAATAACTAGTATTTTATATATATATTTCATTAATTTTTTTAAGTTTTTTAAATAATTTCAAAAACATTAAAAAAAAAGATAAGTTATCAAAATAGTATTTTATATATTGCTTTTTAAGGAATTTTAGTTTTTTCATTAACTATTTCAAATAATGCTTTTAAAATAATTTAAATTGAAATTTGAAATTTTAATATATTTTTTCAAAAAATTTTAAATTTAACTTTTTTATAACAATTTGTGATAAAGTTGTATTATTTTGTAAACTACATGTATATTTGTTTAATCTAAATAATTTTAAAATAAGTTTATAAATTTCTATTAAAATAGTAAGTGATTATTTTAATTAATAAAATATACTAAAACTTTAATAGCAATTATATAAGTAATATTATTATCAGTATATAATTTAATAATATATAATCTAAAAATAATTAAAATAATATTAATTAAAATAATAAAATAATAAAAAATAAAGTGTCATTTCGATTATCAACATTGTTTTCATTTACACTTATAATAATTGAAAATTTTTGTTTAATAATTCATTTAGCTTATTTATTCTTATTTCATGTTTTAATAAATATAACATTAATAGTTGCAAAGCATAATAACTTATAATTATTATCCAAAACCTATTCGTAAATGCTTTGATGGTCAAGTTTTATATTAAAACTATAGGGATTTTAAAAATTTAAAAATTATTTAATTTGAATATAATAAATATCAGATATTATTTACATTTGTAATATACAAACCTATATGATTGATCAGTTACATTAATAGATACTCAAAATCAGTAACAAAAATATATAAAATTAAACTAAATATCCAAATTTAAATTGGATTTTTAAATTTAAAGTATATTATCCATTTGGAATTTTAAAATACACAGAATATTTGCAAATACTAGGTATTATATAATGTAAAATCTATGTATCTTTATTATATTAATGTTATTTTAAAAAAACTCAACTGGATTAGATTATTTCATCTTTATTGAAAAATAACTTAAAATAGTTAAAACTTCAATATAAAATAAATATAAAACTATTATAAAATTTACTAATTTTAAAATATATAGCACTTTATCATATGAAATATATATTTTTATTTAGTAATTTAATGACTAATATTGAATTTCTAATAACACCTAATTTTTTAAATTTTTAAATTATTTTGATATTAATTTTTGACAGTTCTATATCTAATCTTGAATTCTAAGTAATAATCAA